CTTTTCCCTTACTATATTTGTATTTTCTTATTTCTTTATCATTTTTATCAGAAGTTTTCCCTATTAGAACCTATTTGAGTCTTTGCTGATGTTCTCTATTATATCTGATTTCTAAAACATTAATTTATGCTATGACTTTCTTCTTATGTGATGTCTTAACTTTTAACTGCAAGTATTTTTAGATTTTGACTGATTTCTTCTTTAACCTATGAGTCATTTAGCAGTACTTTTGAAATTTTAAGTAGATGAGAATTAACTTTTGTTATTAACTCCTAACTTAATTATATGTTGGTCCCAAATCACAATCTATAAATAATCTATTATTTAAAATTTGCTGAGGCTTTCTTTGTGGTCTAATACATGTTTGTTTGTTTGTTTGTTGAGACAGGGTCTTGCTATGTAGCAAAGGCTGGCCTCCAACTCTTGATTCTCCCGCCCCATCCTCCTTAGTGCTCGGATTACCAAGCTCAGTTTTATTTTTTTAGAAAATCTTTAACGTATGCTTGTGAAAAACTATGCTTACTCTACTTGTTGTATGTGGAACTCAAGATAATTTGTTGTGTGGTACAGATTTTCTGTATTTGTTGATTTTAATTTTGGGTTCTACTTGGCCTATCAATAATTAAGAGAAGCAGGATTAGAAACTTCTCCTTAGAAGATTTCGAGTATGAGGCCAGTCTGGGTTGCATATTGAGTTCCATGCTGGCATCAGCTACCTGGCAAAGACCCTGTCTCAGCAAACAAACAATACAAACACTCCTTAGATTTTATTTTGTATCTTATTTTATTTTGCAATCCTGGGGATCCAATTCAGGGCCTTGTGCATGCTACACAAGTGCATTTTCTTTTCCTGGTTCCTTTAGGGTTGATCTTCGGCAATGGAGCCAGCAACTATGCTAGGTCAACATCTTGGTGGAGACCAAACTGGAATGTTGTACGTAGGAATGGAATTGTTTGAACACCTCGTCCTACATTAAACCTGTCTTGCCTCCTGTATTTTCCATTTTTTGTTCATGGCACCATCAGTATCCAGTCACATAAACCAGAGCAGTTAACACCAGGCCACTTTCAGTTTTCTTTCTGCTTCCTGAAAAATTTTACTTTGTTCATTCTGTTCTTCTGTCTGGCATGGGAAGAGGGGGTTGTTCTTCTCTAGTTCCATTCCTTTTACCTGCTCAACTCCATCGTATCTATGCACACTTTGTACAGGTCTTGTACCATGCCATGTCTCTGCTTTGTATTTCCAGAATATTCTCAGCACCTCTTATTACATGACCAGGTTTTAAAAAATGATCTATTGAAGTATGTGTTTACTTCCTTAATGAAAGAGCTGGTCAAATTCATTTTAGTGGCTAAAACAATATATGGCTCATATTAGGTATTCAAATGTTGGTTGACTGACTGGAGAACCAGAAAGTTAAAGTGACTTTTTCAAGATCGTGTTGCTCATAGGTGACAGAATTGAGATTGGAAAACAAGTACCTCTTTTATTGTTCCATCATGTACCAGTGCTTCACCTAGTGCAATATATGAAACTGGATAAATATAATATTTATTGTGTAATACTGAACAAGTCACTTTGTTAGTTTGCTAATGACCAAGATGATTACATTTTGCTTTGTAAATAATTTTTATATACTGTGAAGGAGTTTGTTTCTGGTACATAAATAGTTTTACATGAATTTTATATATTTACAAATAGTTAAAATAGTTCAAGTGAATTAAAAAGTCATTTGGAAGAAATCAGAATGGCCTTTTAATGTGTGTGTGTATATATATATGTGTATATATAGAGAGAGAATATATAACTATATTGTATATACATATTTTGTATATATACATATATTTTACACACAGTATTATTGTGTGTGTGTGTTACTGCAGATCCTGGGGCCTTGTGCATGCTAAGCACATACATTACCCCAGCCCCAATGATTATATATATAATACAAATATATATATATGTGTGTATATGCATATACACATACATTTTTAATGACATGTCGTAGTCAAACCCAGTGATTTAATTTTGATAGCTCAGTTGAAGTAAAAAGTTAATGTGACAGATTCCAGACATTTAAAAAGAGTCTATGAGATATAGCTTAGAATATCTGGGAATGGAAATGGCAAAATTTCAAAAGTTACACAGTAGCAATAGCTCAGTAGATGGTTTCATCAATTTTGAAGATGCAAGTGCAAGTGCTGACATGTGATCTTGTCCCTTAGGTTCTCTCATTTTCTGTTGCATATCACAGATACCAATTGTAATTTAGAAACTGAGATCCATTCATCAATTTGTGAAAGGATAGAGAAATATATTTCAATTTGGATTTATGTTCAATTTCATATTTTTTTGCTTGACTTTTAACTTTATTAAATTAAAAATATATGGTCAGATTTTAAGAGTACTTAAAGAAGAAAAATTTCCAACTACATAGAAGCAAGAAATGGAACAGGAAAGAAAGAAAAAAAGACAAGAAGGGAGGTGGGGAGAGAAGAGGAAGAGAGGGAGGGAAGGAAGGAAGGAATATATAAAGTATAAGGAAGCAAGGGAGGGAGGGAGGAAAGAAGGAAGGGAGGGTAGGGAAGAAAAAGGAAGAAAGGGAGGAATATATGAAGTATAAGTATGTCTCAAAAACTAAAATGGTAGAATCAAGTCAAAATGTATAAATAACCAAACAAACATAAATTTCCTAAACTCACCAGTTAAAAGGGATTGTTAGGAGGTAAGAAAACAAAACCTAGTTTTATGCTCATTATAATAGATATGTCTATAGCTAATGGCACACAAAAAAATAAAAGGTAAGATGAAAGAGGATATACCTGAGAAATACTAGCCCAGATGAAGCTGGGGTAGCTATGTCAGCAGCCAGAAAAATAGACTTTAATCCTAAAGGCATTAGTGAGGATATTGAGAATCATTATGAAATTATGCAAGGTTCAATTCACCACGAAAATATAAAAATTCTAAGCATGTATGCATTTAAAATTATATAATATACATCAAAATGATACATATATGATTTTACATTTAATAGAACTACAAGGAAAAAATCTTAAATTCATTAAAACTAGGAGATTTCAACATCCCTAAATCAATGGACAATTTTAACAGCTCAGTTAATAAATTTAATCTATTAATATTCACAGGACTTTGTAGCCAATAATTAGAGAATACATGCTAGCTCATGAAATAGTGATTAAATTTGATCTTATCTTGACTGTAAGCAAATTTTAGCATGTGTCAAAGACTTAGACCAATACTACATTTTCTGAAAATAATTCAGTTAATTAAATGATTCTCACATATTTTCTGAATATTTTTAAATTTAAATATACATTTCCAAATAACTAAGGAGAAATGAGTTTAAAGACTAACTTCAAAATGTTTTTTATAAGTGTCCATTACTTTATTTTTTATTTTTATTTACTTTTTTAATTTCAATTTTAGAATTTTTTAATGAAGTTTTATTTATATTTAAATAAAAATTTTTTTTTCTTGGCACTGGAGTTTGAACTTAGGGCCTCACATTTGGTAGACAAGCAGTCTACCACTTGAGTCATACCCCCAGCCTTTTTTTTTTCTTCAGATAGGGTCTCATGCTATTTCCTGGCATGGCCTCAGAGCATAGTCCTTCTATCTCTGCCTCCTGTGTAGCTTGGATTATAGGCATGAGCCACCATACCTGGCTCTAAAGAAATTTTCAAGGTGAAGTAGCAGCGGCCAGGCATGGTGGCACAAACCTGTAATGCCAGCTACTGGCGGAAGTAGAGAGTGGAATGATCAGGTTTGAAGTTAGCCTAGGCAAGCAAGTTAGCAAGACCCTATCTCAACCAATAAGCCATGCATGGCAGTTCATGTCTATAGAATCCTAGGTACTGAGAGGCTTAAGTAGGAGGACTGGGTTTAAGGCCAGCCCAGACCAAATCATGAGACCCTACCAGGAAAGTAACTAAAGCAAAAAGTGCTGAGAGGGAGGGGGTGGGGGCAGGGGGGAGAAATGACCCAAGCATTGTATGCACATATGAATAATAAAAAAATAAATTAAAAAAAAAGTGCTGAGAGCATGCCTCAGGTGGTAGAGCACCTGCCTAGCAAGCATGAGGCCCTGAGGTCAAACCCCAGTACCACCAAAAAATAAATAAATGAAGGTGAAGTGTCAGAAAAAGAAAAAGCATCAGAAAGCTGAAATAGTATATTCTTTTTATCTATTTATTTTGCAGTGCCTGGGCCTTACACATGGTACACACATATTCTATCACTGAGCTACATCCCCAGCTTAAAATAATATATTCCTACTAGAATGGATGCATAGGATAGTGGCTCCTATATGGCCACTTTTACTAGAATGATTGTTAAAATATATATATTCTTGACCTTCGTACTCCATGTAAATTTTTTGGTTATGTAGATTCCAAATAGGCTAAAAGCCTGTTGACAATAGAAATGATGATGTGGGTGTCATCTGGGTTAACTCATGGGGAGACTCAAGCCATAGTGTCACTCAAGCTTCCCTTTAGCTTTGCATGCCCAGAAATGCAATTTGATAGAAGATAGAAAGTAGACCCATCTCCTGGGAGGTGGATATATATATATATATATATATATATATATATATGTTAGCCAAGATCATAACTGTTGTATTATAATGAGGAGTGTAGTGGCCAAAGGAACTGGAAACTCACGTTGTCCAGGTGCATATTTTCTTCCTATAGATAATACAGGCTAATATTTTTTGGTGGGCGGGGGGAGGCAGTACTGGGGATTTGAACTCAGGACCTTGCACTTGCTAGGCAGATGCTCTACCACTAGAGCCACTCCACCAGCCCTTTTTGCATTGGTTGTTTTTAAGATAGGGTCTTGCTTTATGCCAAGGCCAGCCTGGACTACAACCATCCAATTTGTGCTTCCCTGCATAACTGGGAAGACAGGCACGAGTCACCATGCCCAGACATTGGTTGAGATGGGGTCTTGTGATGTTTTTGCCTGGGCTGGTCTTGAACCTTGGTCCTCCTTATCTCTTCCCCACAAGTAGGCTTATAATTTTTAAGCATTTTAATTTTTAATTGATAAGGTCCTTTCCCCTCATATAGCATAATGCTGTTGTCACACTTAATAAAATTAAAATTCCTTAATAACATGTAATATGGTCTGTGTGTATGTGTGTGTGTGAATTTTTCCAGTTGCCTCAAAAATGTGTTTAGAGTTGGCATGTGTGAAACATGATCCAAGCAATGTCTACGCATGATATTTGATGGATATGTTCTTGAACCTTTAACAAGTTTCCTCTCCTTCTATCTTTCCTCATGCCTTTTATTTATTTGGAGAAAAAAAATTGTCCTGTTTATTTTCTTACTATATTGCAAAGTCCATTGAGATTACAAACATTTTAGCACTAAAAAGTATGCTTGGGACCCATAGGCACTTACTAATTTATACTGAATAATGTTAATAATGCTCAAGATCTGTGTTTTGTTCCTACAGGTTGATCCAAAAGACTACATGTTCAGTGGACTGAAGGATGAAACAGCAGGTCGTTTACCTGGGAAAGTGGCAGGACAACAGTTTCTCATTCAAGACTGTGAAAACTGTAACATCTATATTTTTGATCACTCTGCTACAGTTACCATTGATGACTGTACTAACTGCATAATTTTTCTGGGACCTGTAAAAGGCAGTGTGTTTTTCCGGAATTGTAGAGATTGCAAGTGCACATTAGCCTGCCAGCAATTTCGTGTGCGTGATTGTAGAAAGCTGGAAGTCTTTTTGTGCTGTGCCACTCAACCCATTATTGAGTCTTCCACAAATATCAAGTTTGGCTGTTTTCAGTGGTACTACCCTGAATTAGCTTTCCAGTTTAAAGATGCAGGGCTGAGTATTTTTAATAACACATGGAGTAACATTCATGACTTTACCCCTGTGTCAGGAGAGCTGAACTGGAGCCTTCTTCCAGAAAATGCTGTGGTTCAGGACTATGTCCCTATACCTACTACTGAGGAGCTCAAAGCTGTCCGTGTTTCTACAGAAGCCAATAGAAGCATTGTTCCAATATCCCGGGGTCAGAGACAGAAGAGCAGTGATGAGTCATGCTTAGTGGTGCTATTTGCTGGTGATTATACTATTGCAAATGCCAGGAAACTAATCGACGAGGTAAGGAGAGAAAGAAGAGAAATAGACATACATCTGGATAGAAAGACATCACTCTGGAGAACTTCCATTCTTTTCAAATTGGCTATTAGAAATACTGGCAACTCCGTTATACTCCTCTGCCCTCTAAGCCCACAAGAGTTGTCCATAAACAGGTTGCTTGGGCCTCAAAATACTTTCCCAAAGGGTCATTTTAAAAATAGAATTCAACTCAGTCAGCATTTGTTAAATACCAATTATGTGCAAGTTACTGTTGCCATATTTCAATGCACATTTGTTTTCTGCATTTTTGCTTGTCTTAAAAATATATCTTGTGATTGATTGCAACTTGGAAATAATGAAATATGGTATATGCTGTAGATGGAGGTACAGAGACAAAATTCTCTGCCCTTAAAGCATTTCCAATTCTTTATAATAAATGATTCCCACCGAAACTCACAACAGCAGTACTATACACTAAAGGATAACCTTTTATGATTATTTCCTGAGGAAATTTCTTCAAAGTTTTAATTGGTTAGGGGTGGAAATGACATTTAGGATGAATACAGCTTTTGGACCCTGTTGTGACTGAGAGCATCATCCACATCATGCTCCTATTTTCTATTGCCCTGTTGCTGTAGAGGGGAGGTTGGTGTGGCAGAGTGAGCTGGGAATTGGGGTGGCAAAGGTTATAGACTTATGAGCAGCGGCTCTTGGTGAACTCATGAGTACAGAAGAGGTCTTTGAGTAGAAGCTTCCAAAGGCTTGAAAACTAATTGAGGACAGAGAGGCTTAGGGGCTCCAGAAGCAGCAGTTCCTTTGTTGGTTGGGTGCCCTGGTAGGAGGCATCAGTGGGATGTATTCATTATCCATTAATCAGAAGTTCTTCAGGAAGAAGCTGTTAAACCTAAAAATCAAACTTCCAGAAGTGGAGAAGTAAATGGAAAACTCATCAAGTTTCTTTTGGAAGGGACTTTTTTAAAAAGTTGGAACATATCAAAAGGAATGATTTTAGAAAAGAAATTAAAAATGGATACCTTTCTATAGCCATGCATCTACAATGCAGAAAACCCATGTCTGAAATCTACAAAGTATATCTGAAGTGTTGTTTTCAAAACAACAGAAATCAAAGTGTAATTTTAACACTTTGGTATTTTCTTTTGTGATTATGCCTGTCTGATAAAAGCTTGCTATAAATCTGGTAAAATAAGAAAAATGTGCTTCTGGCCCTTGTGCTATATGATCCCATGTTAACTCAACATCTGAGAGGTAAATCTTCATTATACTGTATGGTGACTTTAAAATCTACACATACTTTTGAAAAGATTAATTAAAATCCTTTCTGGTAGGTAATCAGGAATGTACATAAAAATACTTAAGTTTAAAGAAAAAAGCCATCAACACAGTCTATCTTTATGAGTCATCAAAGTTCTTAATTCTTGACCTTTGGTATCTGATATGTGAAATGGTGGTGTCGTATATCCTTGAAAGGAGTATGACCAGGAAGAGTGATGTTCTTTACATGTCCTTCTGGAATCCAAAATGAACAAAAATCCCACAGTAATAGCTAACACTTATGTAGTGTTTACTGTATGTCAGACAGTGTTATAAGGAATTTAAATGAATTAATTCAGTGTTAAAAGGAACCTGATGAAATATGTGCCACTTGACGGGTAAGGAAATAGACAACAAAGTAACTTGCTAAAGGTCACTCACCTGGTAAACAGCTGTGATTCGAATACAGGCAGTCTGACTGTGTCTTCCTATGTCTTAACCCTCAAACACCATGCTGTTATGCTGTCTCAGTGGTGAAGGACAGTGGATGGATGCCTGCTGGAGTAGCAATGTGATGGAAAGCAGGTGGACTCAAAGGACTCTTTGGTTACAATTATCTCATTCTGAAAAAAAAAACAGAATTAAAGAATAAAAGAGAAAATACAAGAAAGAAAAAGAAAATTCTAAGTACATATGAAGAAAGCATCAAAACATGCTGAAAGATTAAAAACTCACATATTAAGAGAGATTACATATAATTTTAAACAAAGCATGAGTTCCCAGGGAAATATGTACAGAAACTTAGTTAATGCTAAGATAAAAAAATAAAATTTGAGTATTTCTCATTATTATATAAATAGTGTAGGACAGTTTAGACTTTGAATGTTTGAGTATATTTCATGATTTCAGCTGGTTAGTTACCACTATTTTCAGGGCTTCAAAAGTAGAAGAATTTTCATAAAAAGGAGTCTCTTACTATGTCTTAAGTGAAATATTAAAATGACTATGATTATAATATTAAAATTTTTAAATGTTTAAATAGTAAATATATTAAAATTAAAGTGATTAAGTAAAATATTAAATATCTTAAGTGAAATATTAAAATAGATATAATTTCATAGTTCATTATTTTAGGTAATGGTATTTTGAATTAATTATAATTTTGTCAGGTTATGTATCTGACTATAAAATAATAGATGATGAGCAGTTTAGAAAATTAGAAACAGGTAGGTTGGTTGGTTTCTGATATTTTAAGTAACTTTATCGTCATCATCTGGTAGTGATGTCCATGTAATTTCCTGCAATTTTTAAATGTGTGTTTCTTTTTTCTGAGGCAGCATTGAGTGAGGGTTCTGAAATAGGATTTGAGTTTGATCCAATTTGATGGTATGGTATGCAATAATTTCATCATTGGATGAAATACTGTCAGCCATTACCACTGGTTTTACAGAATAGCTGGAAAATGTTCACAACCAAGTAAGTAAAAATTTATAAAATATTGTGTAAGTAACTGATTTTTTAAATAAGTAGGTAAGTCTGGAATATTATGCATACTAAAATGTTAACAGTTATGGATATTCTTGGGAAGTTGATTAAGAGCAGGATTTTTGTTTCCTTTTTGTAGTGGTATGGAACAGGTTTTATTTCTGCAGTGGGGGAAAGGAAAATGTGAAGGGTAACAAGAAATATGTATATCTATGGCAATGTCATCTTTAAGTAGTAGCACTTTGGTATTTCTTTGTTTCTATATTTTATTTTCCAAATGTATTCAGCATATATATTACTTTTTATTATTAAAAATCCAATAAGCTTTGCTAAGAATTTAAATGATTGGAATGACTTTGCCTTTTTAACTTAATTTCATAACTTTTTTAAAATTAGTATGTTTTCATTGCAGTGAACTGTAGAAATAAAGAAGAGTAAAAATAAGTTTAAGATTCATCCATAATTATACTGTACCATAAGTAGTGCTTTTAGGAATATTTTAAAAGTTTTATTTAGTCTGCAATCTGATTGAGTTTAAATCATAGGTCTATTACATAGTTACATGACCTGGAACAATTTTCTTAAACACTGTCCTAGTTATTTCCTCTGTACAAAGAGAGAGTTAAATGTATTATACATGTAAAGTGCATCAAACTGCCTGGTACACAGTAAATGCTCCATGAATGTGACCTATCATGTTCTGTTGTGTTATACTATACAGATTTGTGTTATGTAAGCATTTTAAGATTAACATTGTTACATAATAATTTCCCATTTTATTATAACATCTTTGTTAAATTTCATAAACTATGATGAATGTAATGAATTATGGTATTTCATCATATAAATGTACCATAATTTTCTTAACCATTCTTCTGTCATTAAACATTTGTAGTATCACCAAACTGAAGTTTTTAGCTAAAAATTTATATCTTAAATTTATTTGATCCTTTTTTTTAAGAGACAGGGTCTGCCTGTGTAGCCTAGGTAGGCCTTGAGGCTCCTGCCTCAGCCTCCTGAGTACTGGGATTACAGACATATGCCACCACACCCAGTTTTATTTGACTCTTAGCCTTAACAGTAGGCATTCTAGTACTAATTCTCAACTAGAAGCATCCATCTGGAAGAAGGAATCTTGTGAGAACTTGTTACAGCAAACACCTTGAATTAGAGTCATAACTAAAACAAAAATCAGTATGCTATGTTGCATTTTCTACAGAAAAATGCTCGAATTGGAAAACATTATTTTGTCTTAGAAGTTCATTTTAAAATCTAAATGAAATTTTGTTTTCCACAGATGGTTGGTAAAGGCTTTTTCCTAGTTCAGACAAAGGAAGTAACTATGAAAGCGGAGGATGCTCAAAGAGTTTTTCGGGAAAAAGCACCTGATTACCTTCCTCTTCTGAACAAAGGTATGATTGATATACTTGTTTGGTTATTTTCTTGACATGCTGACTTAATTTATTCTTACTTTAAACATTTCTCTTACATTGTCTTCTCTATCTCATTTGATCTGTCTTTTCCTATTACTGTTTAGAAATGTCGAAATTTCACATCATTCAAGAAGTTCTATATAACTGACTAGAAGTTAGGCATTAGTTTTTACCCTGTTCTGTGTTCGTAGTACTTAAAAGTAACATGTTATTATTATGTTTTATTATCTTTATTTATTATTTTATTGTACCTTTATTGAGAGTATACTTCATATGCTTTGCCCAGTATTGCAAAGTACTTGATAGTGATGGGCTTTCATCATACTGAGAAAGAAACAAGAAATATAAATAAAGTGGTATGCTATTTTAGGTATTAAATATGATTGATTAACTTTGCATGTAGAATTAGAATTTCCCCAGTGAGTGGATGCCACCAATAAATTTCAGACACTGGGTAGATGTCTACAAGAGAGGAACTGGAATTTGTGTGCTCTCCTGAAGCATTGCTGTCTGCCTATATGTTTTTGAAGCTGTCCTGATTCTAGAGTACTATTAATCTGTTTAGAGCAGGGACATTGTTCAAGGTTTATCAGGCTTTTCTTGACTGACAGGAGCAAATATACATAGTAATATGCGGTGCTAATTGGATGTACCCTAGAGAGAGGACATATCTATCTGCATTTATATGTTCTTTATTTATAAAGAAATTATAATAAACTCTAAAAGCCTATATGAAAATATTGGAGGATTATTAGGATAATTTCAATAAGTAATGCTAGGTGTAATTCAGATGTTAAGTACTACTGTATTTCATACTTTTGTGATTACTGTGGTAGTAGCAAGGATTTACTCAAACTTAGTACATGAATCCACCTCAGCATCCATCCATCCATCTATCTATGTATCTATGTATGTATGTATGTATGTATGTATGTATGTATGTATCTATCTATCTATCTATCTATCTATCTGAAATCATGACCTGGCCCCTCTGATGCCATCATTTTGGCATGGGAACATTCAATAGAACCTTAAGAACAAACCTTTAAACTTTCAGCAGCTTTCAGAAATGGAATCAAGTAATAAAAGTAATACACATCCTAAAGTGTGAGGGTTAGGAATGAAGTAAGCATATAAGTAGTTCTAAGTTAAGGATTTCTGTTTTCATGTAGTGTTAGTTAAGTGGTATCATAGAATGCTCCAACCCAAATAATAATATCTGCCTTTAAGTGCCCCACATGGAAGTAGTAAAATGTTGTTTTTGCCAAAAGTAGAACTAAAACCAATGAGCTAATATTATGGAAATTTCAAAAAATAAACATTATATAAATAAGTCTTAAGAACCAGAAATGCCCATAGGAAATACACAAAGGCTGATGAGGTCATGTCAGTAGGTCATAAGAGTCATCTTGACAGAATTTCCACTGACCAAATTTGGGGACAATTTGACCATCAAAAAGAAAAATGGGGGCTGGTAATGTACCTTAGTAGTAGAATGCCTTCATAGCATGTGTGAAGTCCTGGGTTCCACCCCCAACATCAAGAAAACAAAACAAAACAAAAAAAACAAGAATGGTGAAGGTAATGATTTAACAACAGAAATCCATGCATCCACAGTAAATTTTTTTAAAAGGAGGGGAAGAATTTTGCTATTAACAAAATACTGTGAGCTAATAAGTGTAACAGAAATGATAGAGTTTGGAAATCACCATTTTCCAGCCCAAACATTATCAGTAGATGCTAAAACTATTGGGGAAGAAATTTCTTCTAAGCAGAAATTTATACATCCCAATTCACAGGGGACGTAAACCTGTAAAGCAGAGATGTGGTGTTCACAGTGTTAATACAGTGATCAAATTTAGCATCAGTGATGGACACCCTGACACTGTGTTTCTCCTGATGTGGTGCAATGAGAAATACACTAAATCACCTACAAAGTGTTCTTACCAAAAATTTAATTTGAACCTAATTGAGCCAAGACCTAACTTCTAGTTTATGAAAAGAAAAGGAAATAAGTTAAATGACACCATGAGGAAACAATGAGCCAAATCTAAAATAGAAAACATTCTACAAGACAAGGGCCATGTTTCTTCAGATAATGTCATAGAGAAAAACAAGCAAACAAACAAAAAAAGATGGGGAACTCTTCTGGATTGAAAAACTCTATAGAAGCCTGGAGTGGGGGATGCATGCTTGTAATCTCAGTACTAGAGAGGCTGAGGCAGGAGGATTGAAAGTTCTAGGCCAGCCTGTGCTACATAAGCAAGACCCTGTCTCAAAACAAACAGAGTCTAAAGAGACATAACAATTGAACGTCATGAATGAGCCCTTATTGGATCTTAGATTGGGGTGGGGTGAGCTATAAAAGCATTTTGGGGATAATGGGAGAAGTTTAACAATGGTAAGAATTGTTAATTTCCTTAGGTATTATAATAGTATTGTGGTTAGGTAGAAGATGCCTGCTGAGTAGCATGATGTCAACAAAACAAAAATAAAGCATGTGTGTGCACATGGTATGTAGCATGTAATAAATGTGTCCAAACTTTGGATTTTGGTAGGAATAGGTGAAGGGAAAATGGATGTTTATTGAAATGTTCTTTCAACCTTTCAATAATGTGTGAAAAAATTTAGAAGTTGGAGAAAATAATGTAAGTTGCCCAGTAGTGCATTGGTTCATGTGGAATAGTAAGCAGGCTACCTGCAGATGTTCTAGCAGGAGTTGAGTGGATTGGGCAGGGTTTCTCAGCTTTGACACTACTGACCTTTTAAGCCAGATAATTCTTTGTTATGGTGGCTTTCCTTTGCATTGTAGAATGTGTAGCAGCATTTCTGGCCTCCACCCACTAAATGCCAGTTCTAATTGGAGCAGCACGTGTTTCCAGACATTGCCAAATGTTCACTAGGGGACAAAATTGTTCCCAGTTGAGAACCACTGTTTTAAAGTGTAAACTTACTCTTGAAAATTCACTCTTATCAAAGTTTGCACCCGAGTCTCTAAATTTTTCTCTTTAGTTCCACTCATCACAGTTACTCACCTATTTGATTGCTTAATAAGAGAATCCATTGTTTTCCATTTTGAGAACCTTCCAAACCTGACTGATCCTCAGAGCCATCTAGGGTACGTTTAAAAATATAAAGTTTCAACTCCTACTCCAAAAGGAATGGTTCAAAAATCTTTGGGATGTACCCTTGGAATCTGCATTTTTAATGGTTTCCCAGATGGCTCTGAACATTAGCTAGATGCGCTTCCTTTGTTTTAGAGGGCCATTCATTCCCCTTTTATTCAAGCATAGTAGATGAGGTCTGAGAAGTAGCAGAGATGAAGTCAGATAATGGAGGGCCTTGTAGGCCACCGTAGAGACTTTGTGTTCTAGTTTGAATGAGATGAGAAATAACAGGACATTTTTATGTTTTTGTTTTTTTTAAATATTTCTATTAGAATATTTTTAGGTTTACAGAAAAATTGCAAAGATAGTACAGAGAGTTTCTATATGCCCTTTACCCAGCTTCCCCAAATGTTAACATAACCATAGTACATTTGTCAAAACTGAAAAATTTTCGTGAGTAAAATGCTGTTAATTTAAACTATTCAACCAATTAAAATGTTAAATTTATTCAAATTTTATCAGTTTTCCCCTTTACATCCTTTTATAGTTCCAGAATTCATTCCAAGATTCCACATTGCTTTCAGTTGCTTTATCTCCTCCAATCTGTGATAGTTCCTCAATCTTACCTTGTTTTTTATAGCCTTGAAACTTTTGAACCCTTCCAGTCAATTATTCTCAAGAATGTCTCTTACCTTAGGTTTGTCCACTGTTTTCTCTGGTTAGACTAGGGTTGTGGGTTTTGGAGAGGAAATGAAGTGCCCTTCTCTTCACATCACATCATGTAGCACATGGTGGTGGGTTTTGTCCTCTATAAAGTTTCTGTGTTTCTCTTTTCATACTCTGTTCTTTGGAAGTGAGCCACTAGGACCTACCCATACTCAAGGAAAGGAGAATTAATTAAGCTCCACCTCCTGGAGAGAGAAATGTCAACATACATTATGTCAAGTTCTTCTGTAAGAGATTTGTTCCTTCTCCCCCATTTACTTATTTGAATATTCATTTTTATCAGTACTGACTCATGGGTATATATTTTATTCTTTGGGTTATAAATTCAATACTATTAAATTGTTCCAGTTTAGTCATTGAAAGCTCGTTTAGGTGGGATCCTCTGTGTCCTTTTAATGTATCCCCATCCTTTTGATTTTTGAATACCTCTTTACTTTCTGGCTCTACAAGATGTTCCAGGATCTTTCTATATTTTGCTTGTGCCAGAACTAATAATCAACCATTTGTCCAAGGCGCCTTCCCTGGTTCCTTTCATTCTAGAATGGTTGGAAGCCAAGATCTGGGTGCTAGGTGTGCCTAATACCTGGGGTACCACTAGTTTTAAGCTCTTTCAATAGACAGAGGTAGGAAATATATGTATGAATATTAACCCATATACACATGTAATACCTATAATTGGGTCTTTATCTATCTATATATTAAAATATCCCAACCCTAATCTGGCACCACAGAGTTCATTCTAGCCTCTTGATTTTCTTGTGACTTCTTACTCTGAAAATAAGAAATATGGCTCCCATTATCTGTAATTTATCTGGTTATTTTTTCAATACTAGCACACATACAATGTAGTTTTATTATTACTAATCCATACTCCTGTGAGAAACTTACCAACTAGAGTGTAGTTGGCAGTGTTCAGATTTTTTTGTCTTTAGTCTTACAGTAGTCACCAAAAACACAGTTTTCCAGAGTTACTGAAATCAACTCCTTTTCCCCTCACCTCCTTCATTGATGTCATATATTTCTAATACTTCATTTGTCATAAGCTGCATTCCATCTGGAATCCCTTGACATCTTGGATATTTTTTTAAATTTGCATATAATCAAATTCAGTCTGCATGGATTTTAACAAATATGTAGAGTCACCACCTCAGTACCATAGGAAACAGTTTGATTTTCCTATAAATTTTCCTATGGACCCTTTGTAGTCCATCAGCTGTAGTTCCTGGCAACTGATTTGTTTTCTGTCTCTGCAATTTTGTTTTTTCCAGAATGTCACACAAATGGAATCATATAATATGTGGCCTTTTGTGTCTGGCTTTTTTCATTTATTAAAGTGCATTTATGGGTTGGGGGCATGGTTCAAGTGGTAGAGTGCCTGACTAACACACATGAGGCCCTGCACTGACAAAAGAAAAAAGGAAAAAATTGAAGTGCATTTGTGATTCACCCATCTTGCTGGGTGACTTTGTTTCTAGAATGTAGCTTTAAGACACACTCAAGAAAACTGCTTTCAGATGGGCATGACTTTGGTGCCTGGCCTCAATTCCTATTTGGCTTAGCTCCACTGTTGATAGCTTAGAACTTGGCTGGTAAGTAGGGGAGTTGGAAGCAAGGCTGGCTGCCTGGCAAGACGTACTTATGTTGACTTGGATTGCTTTTGATCTTGTTTGCTATTTTGTCAACTATTCTTTGTACTGCTAAATGAGTGGAGATTCTTTGGTTTTTATAGAAGAATAAAAAACCAGACAAGCCAGACTATTTACAACACTTTAAAAATGTGACACTAGTCCTAGAATAGCACTGAAGCTACTCATATGGCATGAGACTGTTAATTTGTTTTATGATTAGAGTAGAGAGAAGCAGCTGAGGTGATGTGTCCCATATGTCTTTCTCCCTCTTCCTTTCTCTTGCCTCCTCCAAACGATACTAGAGAATATAAAGATTAATTTTAGAATATATTTGTGTTCATGCTAAGAAAACATTGTTTGTATTTGCTTAATAGGTCCTGTGATTGCCTTGGAGTTTAATGGAGATGGTGCTGTAGAAGGATGTCACCTAATTATAAATGAGATATTCAATGGGACAAAGGTATAAGATTTTATTTACTATATCTCAGTCTAACCTTTCATTTTCTCTCCTTTTTCTTACAATCAAATAGTACTTTTATCCCTGATACTTTAACCCAGTATATCATGACTTTTAGAACCTATGATAAATAATTGGAAACTAAGAAAATAAGAATGTACTTATTAAAAACCTTTTATAGTACAGGTTTCTAAAGCAAAAAGTCTTCAAGTATCTCTTGAAGCCCTTTCATTTTTTGAAAAATAGATTGAAAAATATCTTATTTCTAAGACTATGTTCTTTAGAGAGCCAGCCCTATTGTCTAGTATCCATTACTTGCTTCAGTAATTTGTCACCAAAAATTGAACTTGAGGTTTATCTAAAAATCATTATATGTAAGCATTTTGAAGGGGGAGGGCAGTACTGAGAGTTGAACTCAGGGATTTGTGCTTGTTAGGTGCTCTACTACTTAAGCCATACCCCCAGCCCTTTTTTTGCTTTGGTTATTTTTGAGATAGGTCTTGCTTTATGCTGGGGCTGGCTTGGACTGCAGTCCTCCTATTTGCACTTCCCTAATAGCATGTGCCACCATGCCCAGCTCTTATTTATTGAAATGGGGTCTCGTGAACTTTTTTGCCTGGGCTGGACTTGAACTGCAATCATCCTGATCTCTACCTCTAGAGTAGTTAGGATTATAGGCTCCAGACCTCGTGTCTAGCCTACATGTGGGCATTTTCTAAGTATGTCACTTAGGTTGCTATAACTAAGAATCTCAGACTTAAATGGTTTCATATAACTTAAAAGCCTAATTTATAAAGGAGAATTAAGTTTACCATTTTGGATACATATTTGAGAGGAAATTTTTTGTTTTGTCTTGAGTTGGCTTGAATTCATAAATTTTTTTGGTTTTTGACAGTACTTGGGTTTGAATTCAGGGCCTTATGCTTGCTAGGAAAGTGCTGTACCACTTGAGCCATGCCCCCTTCCCTGCCACTCTTTTTTGCTTTTAGTTATTTTTCAGATAGGGTCTTGTGTTTGCCTGGGGCTGGCCTAGGACCATGATCCTTCTACCTTCTCCCATGTAGCTGGAATGACAGGTGTGTACCTCCACAACTGGCTTATTTGTGGAAATGGGGTCTCAGCCTTGAACCTCAATACTCCTGATTTCTACTTCCTGAGTAGACTACACCTGGTAAATTTTTAAAATTTAAAGTACTTTGTGTTATATCTCATTTTACCATCTCAATAGTACTGAGAGGGCAAATATAAGATGGACTAGAAAAGGAAACTGGGAGATAAAATGGTTATATGATTCAGATATTTTACGGTTGAATGGTAAGAGATTATCCAAACTTTCTTATTTTGCAAGTGTGGAAACTGAGCCCTGAGAAGTTTATTAAATTGTCAGCATCATACTGCCCATATGTGATAAAGCTATAGTAGAACCCAGGTCTCCTAATTCCTGGCTCACATTTGTAAAAGCTACTTTTGAAGAGTTCTATTGGTTACTGCTTTACTGATGTTTTAAAATAGTTTATTTAAAATTAGTAATATATACTGGGCGTGGTAGCACGTACCTGTAGTTGTAGCTACTCAGGAGGTTGAGGCAGGAAGATCTCTTGAGCCCAGCAAGACCAGTCTCAAAAATAAATAAAAAAATAAAACAAGGCTGGGGGTATAGCTCAGTAATAGAGTGCTTGCCTAGCATGTGTGATGCCCTACGTTCCATCCCCAGTAACACAATAAATAAACTAATCAATAATATATCTTTAGCAGCTTTGAAAGGGATAATCTCAATTTTTGCTTCTCAGACTGAGATTATCATTAGAAAATAGAAGAAATTAAGTGTTTTAAATAAACTGTCTTATTCAGTAGCTTTCATTTTAATTGATATAGATTACACAGTAAAATCCCAGGTATAATAAAATAAAGCTGAGGTATTAATGGCAATAGAAGGGAATAGGAAGGGGACCAGGAAGAGAGGATTGGGAAGATAAGTGTGGATATTGGGGGGCAGTAAATATGATCAAAGTCTTTATATACATCTATGAAAATGTCACAATGAAACCCACTATTTTGTACAATTAATATACACTAAAAGAAAAAAAGCTCAATTTACATTATAGCTATCGAAACCATACTGTACGGGTTCTAGAGAAATACAACAGAGTAAATATTATAAATGATGTGCTTGAATTTCTTTTCAATAACAAACATGACTTTGTTCTGTGGAGACATGGGCTTTAGTATCTTGGGGTCACAGAATTTATTTTTTGTTTATTTTATATTTAAAATAGATGTTTGTATCAGAAAGGAAGGAGACAGCATCTGGAGATGTAGACAGCTTCTACAACTTTGCTGATATACAGATGGGAATGTGAAGTACAATGTGGGACCAAGGACTTGGTATTAAGCCCTTTGCAACTTTTATATACAGAGTTTGATAATAGGCTTTTGTGTATTAGTGATTTTTACTAATGCTGAAGTTGTTAAAGGGTATTTTTAATAACTCGTTGAATACTACATCATTTATTTGAGGTTCAAAAATAGCTCATTTAAGCTAAGTAGTATTAATCAGCTTAAAAACTAATCCACTTCAGTAATCTTGCAGTTTTATTTCTCTTCATATGATACTCCTATTAGAAAATAGAAGTGGCTACCAGTTCATGATTTTTAATCCTAATTCAATATTCTTTCAAATCTCTTGCATTGCTTATTTCATCTTTTTAAAAATTTAGAGTGATTTGTTACTATTTAATGAATTAGAATGAAAACTTACGCACTTTTTTCATTTTTATCTATCCATCCTGTTAAATAATTGTTTCCTAGTTGCATTATATGGCTAATGAGATTTTGTACATGGAATTGACATAATACTTTGTAACTTGAATTTTTTAAAGACAGAGACATTGAAAGCTGGGTGCAATGGTGCATGCCTGTAGTCCTAACTACTTGGGAGGCTGAGGCAAGTGGATCACTTGAGCCCAGGAGGTCAAGGCCAGCCTGGGCAACATAGTAAGACCCCATCTAAACAGAAAGAAACAGGCACTTGATAACCAGGTTTGCAAATAGCTCTACTGCTATTGGCATAGGTATTTAAAGACTACTTCATAAGTAGTATGACTATTGGAATAAATTCCATACTGTTTAGTTTTTAAATACGACTGCTAGATGACTCTTCTGCTTCATGGTAAGAAAAGTCCAGTCAGCAGATTTTACAAAGGTGATTATTGTTTGATCAGCTCTTGTGGGCTATGAAGAGAATTGGAACAAAACCTTGAGACTTTTAGGTAAGAAATGCTTAGGCGTAATGATAAGCTATCTAAGTTATTTAAAAACTTGATGCATTGGATTTTCATTAGATTTGCCATTCATGTCAAGTAATATTCGAGTATGATAAAATCATTTTGGTTGCTTCAAAGCAATATTTTTCAAATCCACCTAATCATGATAATTTGTCAGAAGGCAGGAGAGAGCTACTTGTTCAAAAATCCACGTTCCTGGACCTGGTCCTCAGATGCACAGATTCAGTCTTCAGGGGAAACTGTTTTAAGGGGAGTGTTGTGATCTAAAGGAATCAGTTCAGGTGTTGATAGGTTGATCTTGTGAGAAGGTACTGAACCTGCCATTCATATCATGTATTGCAACTAATAGGAAGACAGCTTCATAGGCCTATTTTTAAAAGGAATCTGAAACTATTTAAACTAAGACTGAAAATGGCCACTTATAAAAATTCTTTTTATGATAATTAGTAAAAATGTATTTTCATGTTTAACATGTTTTGGGGTATTTTCAGCTTAACCTATAACTACTACATGGATTGAATTATGTTAACATGCAGAAATATTACAAAGACTTTTTACATTAAATTAAACATATTGAACATCCACACTGTGCCTGGCCTTGTGCTAAACATTAGAATTACATCATTTCTTTTATAAGAGCATTCTGTCCTACAAAGTCAATGTGATTTCATAAAGTGCAAATAAAAATTGCTGACAGGTTTAATGTAATTTCAGTCATAATAATTACAAATGATCTTTGCAAATAATAGAATATGTTTAACTTAAAGTAAGTTAAACATATTCCTTCCTTAATTATATTATCAAACACCATTATTCACGGTTAAAATAATCACAACTTTTGTTTTTCAAAACTAAAACACAATTTTATGCTACGCTATAAATTGAGATATTTTATCTATGGTATTTTAGCAAAAACTCAGGAATATAATATATAAGGAAGATGTCAATTTAAAATTTTTCACTAAATTTGGTATTTGTTAACCAAAGTCTAAAATTTTCTATTTTTCAGTTAGGTAAGAGCTTTTACCCAAGGTTAATTGGTCTTTAAAGATGGTCATTTGGCTTGAATGAAAAATTTTAAAAAATAATAGCGCTGTGATAGTTGTTTCTAAAATTCTACATGTTGATAGTAATCAGAATGTACATTTCATTTCTAAGTAGCTTTTGAAATCATGAAAAATTATTAGCAGTGAATACTAAGTAATTTTATTAGGTTAAAATGTTTAAACATCATACTAGTTTATTTCTTACATTAATAGTACTGCTTTTTTGTTATGCGTCCATATACTCATGTGTAGCTTTTATATGTAATTTATCTAGTGTTTATAAAATGTGATTTATAATAAATGTTATTAAAATGAAAATGGCTTAACACTATTTTTTTGGTCATACTGGGGTTCAAACTCAGGGCTTCGTGCTTAATTGGTAGGTAATCTACCACCTGAGCCCTCTGCCAGTACTTTCTGTGTTGGCTGTTTTTGAAGTAGTATCTCACTTTATGCTCAGGCTGGCCTGGACCACCATCCTCCTGTTTGTGCTTTCTTGCCTAGCTGGGATGACAGGCATGTATCACTATGTTCAGACATTGGCTGAGATGGAATCTTACAACCTTTTTTGCCTGGGCTAGCGTCGAACCACAATCCTCCTGATCTCTGCCTCCCAAGAGGCTAGGATTATAGGCGTGAGCCACTGTTTTTGAAGAGCACTTCTATAACATACATTTACTTATACATATGCAAAAATTCGATAATTTTTAATGTTAAAAGCAAAATAAAATGATTTAATCTATGTCTTCTGCTGAGAAATGAGCTATATGGTGTGTGGGTGTGGGTGTGTGTGTGTGTGTGTGTGTGTGTCTGTGTGTGTGTGTACAAGGCACTGAAGAAATGCAAAGCAAAAAAACTATTTTAAATGGAATCCACACATTGTACAATTAATATGCAGCCGTAAAAATGTGTGTAAAAAAGCCTATTTTATGACTGGGGGCATGGCTTAAGCAGTTGAGCACTTGCCTAGCATGCAGGATGTCCTGCGTTCAATTCCCAGTAGTGCAAAAAACTATTTTAGTCTAGGGAATTTCCAATATAATGCTTTCTTTGCTAAAAGGAATCACATTTTATTATGAGTGACTACTTGCTAAGATCAGATATCCTTCTTTTCCATATTTGAAAAAAGAATTAGGTTTATACAAATGGACCTTATGTTTAAGTTGCTATCAAATATACCATTCTTTACATCCAACTTTTCCCTCTCCTAGCCCAAAAATCAGAAGTGCTGAAACTGCAGATTGTTTTTAAATAACATGTCTTATTTTCATTTCTACTTATAAAGGTTCTACATGTACACTGAGAGCATTTGGAGGATTGGGAAAAACAGAAATCACAACAATAATAAAATTACTTACTGGATAATTCTTGATGTCTAAAATTTGTTTTTCTCATAAGGAATATATTTAACGGTTCTCTATAGAGAGAGAAGGCAATTCATATGCACATTAAACTTGAGAAATTCAGTCTTAACTGTTAGGTCCCCAACGTCTAGAATCAAGGCTCCTTCAAAACCCATTTTGGAAATAACACTTTATCCTTTAAAAATAAAACACTAAAAAAAGGCCAAAGTTAATGTGAATTATAGTAATGTGCTGTAGTTTGGATTTCGAATGACCCCCAAAAGTCCATGTGTTAAAGGAGTAGTCACCAGTCTGTGGTGCTGTTGAGGGGTGGTAGGGCCTAGTGGGAGGACGTTAGGTCATTGTGGGTATGCCCTTCAAAGTGATATTGGGACCGTGCCTTCCTCTCTGTCTCTTTCCACTTCTCAGCCACCATGGGGGGAATGTCTTTGATACTCCCTGCCATGATGTAATAATGCTTTGCCACAGGCCCAAAGCAATGAGCCAGTCTACTGTGGACCAAAACCTCTTAAACAGTAGACCAAAGTAAACCTTTCCTCAAAAGTTGGTTTACCTCAGGTGTCTGGTACAGCAACAGAAACTTAGCATATAGGGAAAACCTTTTTGTGAAAATGCAGTTGTTCACCGTGTTGACTTATTTTTCTGTCTTGGTAGATGGAATGTTTAGGGGGGTTGGAGAGAATACAATACTTTATAATAAATACTTCATCTCTTTCATTATGTGACATTTTGGCTCATAGTGGTAAGCTTCAGCAAGATGTTCAGAAACAGTGATTTGTTTCTTTTCTGGTGATTTAGTGTTATCCTGGTGAGGAATGATTCTTACCTATAAATAGATAGCACAGGTGGTAGATTGTCCCCAGCATTCTCACCTTAGTGCTGATCCTCCATCTGGGGACTGCCTTCACTTCTATTTGATCTAGTTCACTTGTAATTGGAGTAATGAAAATTAAGTTTCAAATTCTGTGACAAGTAATCAATTGATGTTTGTAAAGTGCTTGGAAATGAAAAGTATGTTTAAATAGTATTACTGTGCTGAGCCAAGTGAATATGATGTACTTTTAAAGTGGTTCGGCTATGAGGCCATACACCTGGCTACAAAAAAGCAGCTGCATAGGGAAAAAATTGTTTAAGAGGCTGTTAAGGCTTAAGTGCTGTTTTCTTACTGATTGACTAACTTTCATTCGTTAAATGTAGGTCAGTTTGTTAGGCTCATTAATTGAACCTTTTATACTATTTCACTCTAACTTCTAAATAGATAATAAATTATATTAGATTTTATCTCATTAGAGTCATCTAGTTTTAGGGCTATGAAGGGTCTAACATTTTCACTCTCATTTTTAGATGGCCTGTATAACTTTACACCGCAATCACTTCATAGGCCACTTCACTTTCCCCCTGTTTAGAGACAGTTTAGCTGTCTCTTGTTACATGAAACCTTTTCTAACTCAAGGCAGAAAAGGCTTGATTCTGCTTGGTGCTCACACCGTACTCCATGTTAATTTCCAAATATTGTTTCTCCATGCCTCTCTTGCTACTCACAGTGGTCTTTGTATCACCAGCAGCAGCACCACCTAGGATCTGGTTAAAGTCATTTTTTTCTACCACTGGGGGTTTCAACTTCAGGTCTGTTTCTTGCTAGGCAGACACTGTGCCACTTGAGCCACACTCCCAGCCCTTTTTGCTTTAGTTATTTTTCAGGTAGGGTCTTGTTTATCTTGCCCTAGCTGCCCTGGACTTCAGTCCTATGTTATGCTTCCTGTATATCTGAAACAGCAGGGGTGCACCACCATGCATAGCTTTTTCTATTGTGATGGGGTCTCTATAACTTTTTGCCCAGGTTGACCGCGAACCACAATCTTACCTATCTCTGCCTCCCAAGTAACTAGGATTAGAGGTGTGAGCCAGAGGGAACTGGTTAGAATCTTAAGCCCACTCCATATCTGTTGAATATCTGTTGAATCTACTAGTACTTATGTAGGTGAACTCAGCCTCATGCTCACTAGGCAGGCAACCTAACACTTGAGCCACTCCACTAGCTCACATGCACTTAAAAGTTTGAGAAACTCATCCTGTGCCACCAAGCTCTAGAGTCAAAGCTAAGAAATCTTTATATTCCTAGAGAATAGATTAGGGTCCCATAATAACTATAACAGTATTTTTGATCAAATAACTCCCAGTCAAGTGCTTCATTGTACTAGATCAGACATTAGTTTCCCTTCAAGTACTCTTCTTGATAGGTTGGTTATGAAATAAAAACATTCTACAATATGAAGCTTCTTTTTATTTTGTATAGAAATACAACTACCAGCTCTGCCCACTGAGATACCAAGGAAGCTTTAAGAACATCAGTGTACTCATTGGAGAAAAATAAAAGCATAGAAGTTTTTGACTTAAATTTTCATCTGATGTGTTTTTATATTCAAGCTTATTTTATTCAATTGGGAAACATATTACATAAACCCAAAGTGATTTGTGGATGCTGGGCCTGAATTAAAACAAAAAGCAGTCAGTTGCTTGATTTGCAGTGGTGGGGAATGTTAGTCACCTATTTGCCCCTCAGAACTGTCGTAGTCCTTATCTTTTAATAGCTTCCCACTTTGAACTTAGGCTTCATTAATACAATGTGCAGGATTGTCCAGGAGAGAGTTCACTGTGGCTCCAATGTTTAGGGCAAGTATGGTGGTAACACTGACTTTTACCTTTTTCCTGGAAAGATAAATCTAAAATATAACAGAAGAGTAAAATCATGAATTCACACTCTTAGTACTTTTTGTTTTCTCAGTGTAAATACATTTATGTCTTTATATGAGACTTACTTATAATTTCTTATTTAGAAAGCATTTCTTTGCATTTAGTCAGTGATAGCAGGAGACCAGGATTCTGGTAGCTTATAACGACATCCATCCCATTACAATTTAAAGATAGTATAATAGAAACATAGAAACCCATGTGCATAATGGGGTGCTTATTTGAAGAGTCAAATGTGTCTGACTTCAGGCAAGGCTCAGCTGCTGACAATGTAAACTGCTGACCGCCTTTACACATCTTTATTTAGGGGTAGAGTAAATCCTTCAGTGTTGACATGTATTTGTAGAGCAAAAAAATTGTCAATGGTTATGGCAACACTGTAGATAGGGCAGTGTTTGAGGACTCTATGGTATTCCTCAAACAGAATTTGGGAGCACTGTATAGAGGTGCTTTATGACAATTTTTATGTTAGCATAAAGTATGGAGAAAATTGTAAACCAGAAGACACAGAGTAGGTGGTCAGTATGTTATAGTGTTCTTAATCACTCATATAAAACTCATTTCTATGAATGCAATTTTTAAATTGTGAAAAAAACATGTAACACAAGTTCTATGTCAACACTTTTTATTTTCTACAAACTCATAATTAACACACATTACTGTACAAACCAACCAAAATGGCTGATACATTCACTACATATAAAAACTATGCATTGATGATATCCATACACCCTTTGTTGACCCTACTACCCTATCTAGTCCCTAGTATGCCTCGCACTTATAAGTCATCCTTTTTTGTTTGTTTCATTGCACATATGACTGCCAACTTGTGATGTTTGTCTTTCTGTGTCTGGCTTATTATGCTATATGTCTTCCAGTTCCATCCATTTTCCAGCAAATGACAACATTCTATTCTTCTTAATGACTAAATTATACTCTATGGCACACACATAGCAGATATTCGTTATACATTCCTCTGATGGTGGGCACCCACACTAATTCCCTATTTTTGGTACTGTGAGTAGTACAAGAAACTGGGCATGCAGGTAGCTCTTTTGTATGCTGTCAAGTTTTCCTTCTGATAAATACTCAGGAATGGATACCTGGAACATGTGATACTTCATTTCAAAAGCTTTATCTAATACACACAT